CTTTAATTTCCTCCTGGCAGTGAGAAGCAAACAAACGGCTACCACAACTCAACTCCTTGTGAGGCCACCCACGCTTACTGGGAGGGGCCTTCTGACCAAAGGTCCCTGCCTAGTGCCACTCCTGCTTCCTCAGCTGTAAACACGCTGCATCTCCTCCCCCTTTCCAAGCTCTGTGGGAAGGGAGATTCCCCTTTGGGCCAAGGAGATGCTCCTCCCATCTCCCCAGGGTCAGGTCCCTGTGCCAGCCAGCAGCCCCCGACCCTTCCAGCCTGTCAGGGCTTGGGCGCGTGAAGTCTCTCAGTCCTGGGGCTGCCTCTCCCTGCACCCACATTGCTCTTCTGTGTACAGATAAGGGTACCGCACTACCACACTACGCCTCCAGAGTCCATGGCTGTCTGATGTTGGGCAAGTCCTCTCAGGGGCCAAGGGCCCTCCGCTCAGAGTGGAATCAGCTGTCCTCTGCCTGCTTGAGGCTGGCTGATAGGGCACTATGTGCCTAATGGGTTCACTATGATGAACCTGCCCTAACCAACTGCCCAAACCAGTGCTCCCAGGAAAGAGACCCCACCCAGGAGAGCGACTGAGGCTTAGTCTGGTCTCAGCCATCAAGCTTTAGGTACAGTTTCTGATTTTTCTTACACAAAAACTGTCTTCGTAAAAGTGCTCCATTCGCTTTTCCTTATACCCTGACTGGAACAGGGCAAACAGTGAAGCCCCAATGGACCTCCCCCCAACCCCCAGGCATCCTGAGCCAGTCAGAGCTATGGGAGGACCCTTGTGGGCCAGGTACTCAGTCTGAAGATTCACTTCCCCAGTAGGGTTGGGCTTTGTCCTCCAGCCTCTCTGCCCACCATTGTGGTTTCCTGGGGAAACCCCTTCTCTGGTGGGGTCAGATTCATTTTTGGGCTATAGAGGAGAGGCAGGGGTAGAGGTCAGCTACTAAGATAGAGGCTGGAGCGTGGGGACTTTGAGGGCCCAGGAGAAGTACTGGGGAGAGGGCGATTCCCAGGGGAGCAGGGAGGTAGGGCTAGTACATGTTCCATGTCTAAGGATGTCTGACAAAGATCTTGGTTAAATATGTGTGCCCACAAATGACCTCACTTTAGCATACCTCAGTGAGGCCCACCTGGTCTCAGAGTGACGTGCCTAAGATCTGGGACTGAGTGGAGGGCCCAGTCAGGTCTGAAAGCTCCAGCCACTGTTCTCACCATGCCCGCCTTAAACTAAGGCCGCTTAGACACCCAAACCCCTCTCTGGGCTAGTGGCCACAATCCTTATCCATCCATTCCAGCCGTCTTGATTGAGGACTTCCTCCTAGCCTAGCTCATCACATTTTGGGGACAAATGATTTTGCTAAGAACATGAGAGGGAGGGATGAGTAAGACTAGAGAGGGTGGCAGGTCTTCCAAAGACCACAGCAAGAAGACTGGACTTTGTGCAGATGATTGGGGAACCTCTTACCCCTGCAGTCCTGCGTGTAGTTCCTTCCAGGTGTCCCTCTTGCTCAGAACTCTTCCATGGCTCTTCGCCGCCCTCTGGATCAAGTCCAAACTCCTTAGCCTAGCATTTGAGGACAAAGTGCTGACCCTGTCTTCTCAGCACCCTGTGCTGACTTCAGCAACTAACTTTCTTCAGTTGTAGACTGGAGCTGCTCAAGGGCAGTCCTCGTGTCGCTGACGGCCAGCCTTGTCATGGGGTGGCGAACAGGCTGGTTTGGCTCAGTGGATAGAGCATCAGCCTGGGGACTAAGGGGTCCCAAGTTCACGTCTGGTCAAGGTCACATGTCTGGGTTGCAGGCTCAATCCCGAGTAGCGGGTGTGCAGGAGACAGCTGATCGATGATTCTCATCATTGATGGTTCTATCTCTCCCTCTCTGAAATCAAGAAAAAATATATTTTTTAAAAAAAAGTATCGAACAAGAGTTTGGGGGGGGCGGGGATGTGTGGAATGGAGAAAGTTTTCCAAACTGACTTTCCTCCCAGGCTTCTGTTCCCTCTAATGTGGAACAAGGGGGCCTAGACTGGACTAAGCTGAATCACCTCATGGCTCAGAGGCCACAGGAGAGAGAGCCTTCAGCAAAGGGGGCTCAGAGCCAGGCCTGCAGCAACTGATGAAAGAGATGGCTTTACCTCAATCTCAGGCCTGGCTGTCGTTCACAGAGGAGGGAGAGAAGGCATGAAGGGACCCACCACTAGCCCAGACTAGGATTCTGTCTACTGCACTGGTCCCCTGAGCTTCCTGCTTTCACAGGGCTCTCAGGAGGCTGGAGGTGAGTCAGATGGCCGCCTGCCACCTCAGAGAGTTTTGGAGCTGGCCCGAGGAAGAGCTCATCCGGAGGTCCTGGCCCTAACTGAGGAAAGGGGTGGTGAGAGTTCGTGTGTTGGTGTGTGTATGTGGTGGTGGGGCCCTGTCACAGCCTGCAGAGCTTCCAGCCATTGCTGCCTTTCTGACAAAAGTGACATTCTTCCTGAAGTTTTCTGCCTACTGCCCAGCTCTCATCACTGCATGGCAGGGTTCTTAGTTTCCTCCAGACCAGAAGTCTTCCCCAAGACCTGATTCCTAAGTGTTTCTCCAGGTGCAGTGGCTGAGAACAGAGCTGCATCACCCAGCATCTGATGGATAGGTGAATTTTTCAAGCCATCTACAGCTTCCGTGGTCCCTTCCTGTCGGTGGGGCTGACAGGCTCAGTCTCCCTCTTGCCTTTGCCCTGGCCTGGCTGGCTGAGTCATTGTTTCAGGTAAAATCATGTCTGGAGGACAGAGAGGCTGGATAAAGGTCTATTTTCACCATCCAGATGATAACCTGGGAGGTATGTGTGAGGGGGCAGGGGACACATCCTGAAATTGCATTTTTTTTTGTTTTTTTTTTTTTTTTTTTTTATGGGGAGAGGGAGGTAAGTTAGACAACCTCCTGGGGCTTTTTACTATACCAGGGTCGTATTACATGTGGTACTAATTGGCAGGCCAGCCACCTATCTATCTGCCTGGGGCAGAAGACTTTGAAAAGTTTGTGTGGCTTTTGGCCTCTAAGTTTTACACTCAGTTCCTCAGGGTTGGAGATCCTTTGAAATCAGGACAGCTTGTCGGGGATGATGTTACACCCACTTAATGCCATTTGCTCCCTCTCCTTGACCACTGTTATTCTCTCCTGCCTCCAACCTCCCCCACTTTCAGTTTAATCCAGTGATTCATTCAGAATCCTGAACATGGAAGTACCCTGCTCTAAAGCCTTTTGTGGCTCCCTACTGCCCTCAGCATGAAGTCCAGATACCCTGCAGTGACCTGCAACACTCAAGTCTTCTTACTGCAGTTACTGTTTTTTTTTCTTGTATTTTATGGTTAATCCTCACCCAAGGATATTTTTCCCATTGATTTCTAAAGAGAGTGGGAGGGAGGTGGTGGTGGTGGGGGGATGGAGAGACAGAGACATCAATTGGTTGCCTCCTGCATGCCCCAACCTGGGCCAGGATTGAACCTGCAACCCAAGTACGTGCCATGGACTGGGAGTCGAACCCAAGACCCTTCAGGACTCACTGCAGTTACTTTTGGTCTCCAAGACTGGAAATTATTCCCTGCCTGGAACCATCTTCCTCACCTCTTTTCCCTCTCTCCAGTTCATTCTTAGCCCTGGTGGAGAATTTGTAGCCAGCGGGATTATGAACCTCTGAGCTCTTGGCACAGCCCTAACCTCTACAGTGATTATAGATTTGCTGGCCTCTCCCTCACCCCTGAAAGGACACTAATTCATCTCTGCGTCCCCACTGGGTTCCTCTGCAACGCTCGCTTGTACGGATGCTACGGCCGGTGGGCCTGGAGCTAGTGGAGTTGGCCACCTCCGCTCTCCCAGCTCCGCGTCCATCCTGGGCCTCGGAGCAGCTGTAAGTAAACAAGCCAGGTTCAGCGTCCCCGGGCACTGCCTCCATCCCAGGCCCCGGAGGAGGCGTCTTGGATTGTCTCAGGGGAAGGAAGACTAGCTTGTTGGGGAGGAGCCAAAAGAGCAAACGGTTCTTTAACACAGTGTCACTTCCCCACTGACAGCACGATCCCTCCCGCTTTCATGTGCACTGGGTCGCAGAGGTCACTAGTCCACGAGTGTCGCCAGTTCACGAAGGGCTCCCCAACTTCCAGCAGGGGACAGACTGCCCATCAGGCTGTGCCGAGGCCTCGAACTCGCCGCCGATTAGGCTCGAGGGAGCAGCTGCCAGGCCGGCTCCTGGAGGCAGACAAAGGCGCAGCCTAGGAAGCGCGGGACCCGCCCAGTAGGGGTGGGCCTACAGCAACGCGAAGCTCCGACTCAGGCCTGATGGGGCTGCCCAGGTCTCCGGCTTCGCCCCGCCCAGGCTCGGTCGGGTCCCCGCCTTCTAGAGCCCTCGCCAGGAGGCGTGGGGTGGGTTGAGAAGGTTTGAGTGGTGTCCACGTAACCCTCCGGGGCCCTGATACCTTTCCCAAACCCAGTCAAGCAGAGCAATACCGCAGCAGCTCGTTACCGAACCCGTAACCTCAGGGCCCCGGGGCCCCTTCCTCGACGTGAGCTCCGCCCAATAAGGAAAGGGATTGCCTCCGATTGGCCGTTGGGCTCCTCAAGTAGAGAGGGCTATTGGCTTCACAACCGGTGCGCGGGCCTGGCTCAGAAGTTGGGACGGGAATAGAGGCCAAACTACAACTCCCAAGAAGTAGCGGGGCTATTCAGCGCTCCGTAACACGTGACTTCCTTCTCCGGGAGACGAGGTCACGCAGTAGGCGGGTGAAAGGGCGGGGCCGTCGGGTTAGCCCGAGGCGCCAGTGGCCTATGGG